ACCAGAGGCCGATGTGTGCACTTTTTGAGATCTCAAATTTCTCTCTCAAGTGCCATTTGTGCCTGCAGTTCTCACGTAAATCCACCAGAGGCCGCAGTCGACTGACTGACTGACTGACTGACTGACCCACCGTCCTCCTTCCCTAAATCCAACAAACAGTGTTTTAAAAAGCAATCCAAAAAAAGCCCTCGCGACAGCCTGATTGTTACCAATGTTTTACCACATTCTCTGTTATTGTAACCCATCAGTCCTACTGCACCCAACTCGTTCTGAGCTTGGATCAAACCAGCGATACATTACATGTGAGTTGGTTGCTCTAACAAGGAAGCTAAAGACCATGACCCCTTGTGTCTGTCGCTGGAGCACCTTTTGAGGTCAGAGGAGTGAGCTTTGAGGTTTGTTTATTTGTTTTTTGGCTTTTGTTTTTGTCTTAACTGCCTACTGGAACTGTTCTTCGATTTGTATTGTTGTCACCTCCTCTCTGTGTCTCAAGTCTGGCAACATACATGGTGAGCGACTGGACAAACTGGTAACAGTGGAAAAGCATCCATACGGAGGTAAGCGGTCAGCTGGTAGCCCGAAAAGGAACAGTCATATCACCCCATAGCGCTAGTTTTAAGGATGAAATGTGGCCATACGTACTTCTGGCTACATAATTCGTAATCTCTGGAAATGTATAGAGGGGGACATTTTCAGATTGAGCCTGTGTTGAAAAAAAATAATAATTGCAATATTAAGTAAGCATCATGTCCCATAAATCTTTCCAAATGTAATTTTTGATTAGCAATCCACATTGCTAAAAACTCAACTTGAACAACATTAAAATGTCATTTTCTTACTACTTAAACATTTTTTTAAAAACCTTTAGATTCTCAAATAGTTGTATCTAACCAAATATTGTTCTTAATCTTAACTAACAAACCATATATTAATGCAAAAATATGCAAAAAATGCAAAAAAAAAAAAATCAGATTTCTAATGATGTATAAATCACAAATGTATCTTGTCGCTTATATATCATAACATGTCTCTTATGCCAGGAGGTGGCTATGACTGACTGCTTAAACAGAATTAGTGTATTTGTGTTGACAGGTGGATTGGTGCAGCGGCAGCAGTTATGCGGTCGATGTAGCTGCCCGTTGTGGTAATGAAGGAGCTGAGCTGAAAGGCAAAGCTCTCGATATACCGGTCAATCTACGTTCCTACTCTCACCTATAGTCATGAGCTTTGGGTCACGTCATAAAAGGGCAAGAATTCGGATACAACGGCCGAAATGAGTTTCCTGCAGGGTGGCAGGGTGCAGCCTTTTGGGTACAGGGTGAGGAGCTCTGTCTTCCCCGAGGAGTTTGGAGTAGTCGAGTTGCTGATCTTCCACATTGAGAGAAGCCAGCTGAGGTGGCTCGGGCATCTGTTTCAAAAGGTGGTTTGCCAACTCCAGGTTGGAGGAAAATCCTTACCCAGGTAAAAGAGTTCAAGTATCTTGGGGTTTTATTTACAAGTGAGTGAAGAATGGTACATGAGATTGACAGGCGGTCTGTTGTGGTAAAGAAGGCTATCGGTCTGTAGTAGTAAAGAAAGAGCTGAGCCGAATAAACTCCTCCAGAAACTATTCCTGGATGATGGAAGGTTTCAGTGGTGCTTCTGACTGAGCCGAGCCCAGTTTGATAAACTGTGGTCAGAGTCAGCAGAGTTTGTGAAAAACGTTCAACTCACGCCACTTCATTCACGCCGCAGGTCTATTCGTGCCTTTGCATTGACTTAACATGTAAATCACTTGTGCTTGACGCTTCTTTCGCGTCTGGTGTGAACGGAGTATTATAAATTGGGTGAAAAGCTCTGTTACTCGGGAGGAGCTCGGAGTAGAGCTTCTCCACATCGGGAGAAATCAGATGAGGTGGCTCGTGCTTCTGTTTTGGATGCCTCCTGGACACCTACCTAGGGAGATGTTCCAGGCATGTCCCACAGGGAGGACGCCTCGGGGAAGACCCAGAACACGCTGGAGGGACTGTGTCTCTCGGCTACTTTAGGAATGCCTTGGGATACCCCGAAGGAGCTGGAGGAAGTGTCTGGGGTATGGGGAGTCTGGGGTTCTCTCCTGAGACTGCTGCCCCCGCGATCCGGCCCCGAGACGCAACCTCCGCAAATTCATTCATTAGTTTTCCTTCAGCTTAGTCCCTTTATTCATCAGGGGTCGCCACAGCGGAATGAACTGCCAACTATTCCAGCATATGTTTTATGCAGCGGATGCACTTCATGCTGCAACCCAGTACTGGAAAACATCCATACACACTCATTCACACACATACACTACGGCCAATTTAGTTTATTTAGTTCACCTATAGTGCATGTCTTTGGACGGACACGGAAGAAACCCATGTAAACATAGGGAGAACATGCGAACCACACAGAAATGCCAACTGACCCAGCCGAAACTCGGACCAGCGATCATCTTGCTGTGAGGCGACAGTGCTAACCATTGAGCCACAAATGTGAATTATGAAAAAATGAGAGTGTTTCTTTAAAACCTTTAATGAATGAAAACCTATTGCAGTGGAATAAAAGTAAAATAGCATAATTGTGGAACTCTGTCTTCACATCTGAGATTTATTTTGTCCATTCCATCTAAAAAGTACAGGAAAATTTCCCCTCTGGAGTCAGAGGCTGTAAAACGCATATTAGTGAAGTCGTTCTGAAGGCTATTAGCTCTTTCGATTGAAGCGCCATAGGCAGGGATTCGTAGATATTCTGTGTTTACATCAGGCGATTTTGTTGTTTGTTTACCATGGAGTGTCGTTTCCCCTAAACAGCCATTTACCGGGCAACATGATTTGAATAACTGGATTGCGTTGCTATTTGCTCACAGATTACATCAAACTTCATTAAAGGCAAATAGCAAAACACAAATCAGCTGCCTGTTAGGCTCTCCTGCACAAATACTCACAAAAAAAAACACACCAAACCACATCATGAGACACTCAGAGTGCGTATGCTTAGTGTAAATCTGATCTGACCTCTGCATTGCGACCTCGGAGAACCATTTTACTTGCAAAATCAAAGAGCTGTAAAAGATCAAAGAGCAAATCTGATGCTGGAACACTTTGACCTGGTTAGTGATCCTCAGTTGATGCTTTCTACAGCTCAGGAGGCTTATTGGAGATCTCCATTATGTTTCATTGAGGTATTACCTTAGTCTCAGATGCAACTCATTCATTTTCCTTCGGATTAGTCCCTTTATTTATCAGGAGTCGCCACAGAAGAATGAACCGCCAACGTATGCAGCATATGTTTTACACAGCAGATGCCCCCCCCCCCCCAGCTGCAACCCAGTACTGGGAAACTAGTAGTGGAAAACACTGCAGCCAATTTAGCTCATTCAATTAACCTATAGCGAATGTTTTTGGACTCGGGTGGGGGGTAACCGAAGCACCCGGAGGAAACCCACACCAATGCAGGGAGAACGTGCAAACTCCACACCGAAACGCCCACTGATATAGCCGGGGCTCGAACCAGCGACCTTCTTGCTGTGAGTTGACAGTGCTAACCATTGAGCCACTGCACCGCACCTCAGATACATCTCATACATTTTTTTATTTACAAATAGTCCCACAACTCTAGGGATCTAGGGTTAAATTGTGTATCATTGAACTTTTGTTTATCATTGAACTTTTTGACATTTCTCAGAATGTTTGAGAATCTGAGGGTAAATGCTAGTACTGCCACTTTGAGAGACAAAAAATAAATAAAAATAAATCATATAGATGCCAAACAAATTGAATGTGTGTCTGACACATAATTTCATATTGTAAAAACAAACATTTATTAATTAACAGTTGACACAGTTAGTGATTAATTCTGTATATTTATTAAGTCGAATTTATAGGAACTGTTCTGTTACAACTTTCAATGCTAAAACATTTAACAGTGACTTTTATTTATAATTTTAATAGTTGGAAACAATATATTGTCTGGACTGGATGTGAATTATGTAAGAAAAGCTGGATAATTATCTCCAAGTAGGCTACTTTATTGATTTAATTAAGATTTTTCCTGTATACAGTTTGCTGCCTGTGAAGATTTAAACTTCTGGTTTATTGAAGACTTGCAGATTTTTTTTGGCCTCTGTAAGCAGTATTAACATATTAAAAAGGTCTCTTAAGTTAATTCACACACTTTTAATTCATACAAGTGTATAAATAACATTGCAAAATATGTCACACGAATAAAATGGTATTGCCAATTGATGTTTAGTGCCATTAATAATAATTTAATTCATTTACTCACAAAGAACGGACATAAATGCATAAAAACAAGAAAACACTAGCATATACAACACACTAGCATCGAAAACTATTAAACAAAAAGTCCAGATTTGATTTCACCGGAACAGGGATGAATATTTCACTTCCTTTTCGCGGCATTTATTAATAATTGTTGACTGAACGTTTAAATAATTAGACTATTTTTATTAACAAGAAGATGCCACCAATTTCTCATCTCCCAGCATCATGACCTTAATTGTTGTAATCCAGACAGATCCGTCTGTTTTTACAGTCTACTCAACATCTGGGTTGCTGGAGAATCCTAGATGAAGGGCGGGAGGATGCCATTCATAATGACAGGGATGATTGACAACAACACCGTAAACACGTTTACGCGTTTCTTAATTTGCGATATGATATTCTGCTTCATTTTTAACAAAAAAATAAATCTAAACTAAATCAACATCTAATTGGGTTATACTAAATCTCGTCGAAACATATACGCGCTGTTTACGCTCCTCTGTGCACCCCTACTACTCGAATGGTAGGTTCCATTTTAAAGCGATAGCTGCAACTCCACGCTTTCTAAAGTAAAGCGCGACGCTTTCTTGAGGTACGGACTGGAGAAAACCATGCCATCGACGCGCTGAGCGCATTTACGGCTTCACACGGGCGTTTTGCACAGGAAAATAAAGCGATATCACCGAATCCGCCTGCGATAAGGACAGAGAGTCTCTTCAAAAGCCAACTGTGGATGTAACTGTTGCACTTTGAACACAGGTAACGTTTCGAGTTATACACAAACACTCGCGCGAATGATTCATTCTGATGCACGGCTTTATTGTACCGAAATCCCGAATGCATGATGTGGAGATGGTAACGCGTGCTTCTTTTACCTCTCTCACTCGCACAAAAAATAATTCGATCTAGCAGATAAGAGATTAGATGGTTAAACTGTTGTGTGGAAAGGATCCTGATGGATGTGGTCAATAAAGCCAGCAAGAACAAAGGGGGCATTAAAACCACTGTTTAGCTAAAAGGAGGTAAAATATCCGCGCATTTGTTGCTGTGCAGTAGGAAATGCATTAAAATGACTTGACTTATTCTAGTAGTAGTCGATACACAATGGATAATTATTCCAGTCTTGCCTGTTGGTGGTTGTGCGTGGATCCCAAGCATGCATATTGACGTTTGAGATGTAAAAGTTGCTTTGGATAAACCCTGCAGATCACAATCGGGCTTTAAAATAAAACAAAACAACGTTGTTTTTAGCCAATTCACGCAGTAAAATGTATAAAAAGGTGATATCACGCTCTCAATCTGTTTGTCTTTCACATCTGTAACAGTCACATGACTAAAATATTGTTTTCCTCCAGGCAAATGACCCAAATGTTGTTGTTCCTAATAAAGCTTAAACTAAAATCAAATGTGATGCTCGATTTGCACATTGATTACGCGCATTTTCTGTCACCGCGTAAATGATGCGCTGAGATGCCCGAAATCAGATGCTGTTGATGTGTACTTCGTACCAAACCTGATCATTCAAAGCCTTTGGGTGCCAGCTTGATCCGTGTCTGGGTGGAGAGGAGAGGGGCTGTGGCTGCCTGCGGTAGCCGGCTCAGGGATGCTCGCAGCCGGTCTGAGATTAGCAAGATCCGCGTTGGAGAACGTTTGAACCCAAACACAGAAAGCGTTTAGATTTCGATATCTTTATCGCAATGCATGTTTAAAGTGTTGATGATTTGCATTAGAATAATTAAATGTAGAAAAATCCGTGATCAGTCAAGCTAAACATATGGGACCTTAATCGGAACATAACAGATTTTTAACAAATGCATAAATTTATTTTCGGCACTGTTTACTTGTATCATTTTACCCTAAAAAGCATTCATGTATGTGTGTGCATGCGAGTTCAAAGAGTATTTGTGCACTATATATATCTGTATGTTGCAATATGCATGCACATACATGCATAATAAATTGTAATAATAAACATTTGTCAACATTTTATACACACACACACACTTGCAAGCATATATTTTTATTTTGAATTATTTGTAAATTATATAAATACATAGAATAAATAGATGTCTAGCTCCATATAAAACTCTCCATATATGCTGTTTTTATGTAGATCTACACATTATGAAAGTGTTTGCAGTTCAAGTAGTTTTACATTATACTTTGTAATCTCATTTATCTCCCGACTGCACAATAATAGAGTTCCCTTATACATTCATTGTGCTTTTCTCTATCGGCTCCTGTGCTGGAATCAAATTTTCTCTGGGATGGATAGAAACTGCAGTGTAGCAGACCGACGTGGATTGATTTGGGCTGGAAATACCTCCATAAATAAATTCAATCAGTGCATTAACCAACAAATTGCCCAGCTGGATGCAAAAATAGAAAGTTGTTTATAAGCGTGGAGAGTAGATGACTGTCTCCCGGTACGTCTCTCCAGTACGGAAACCGATAAGCATCACAAGTTACCTGCTGTTTCTGCTCACGTACATGTGTGGATGAATTATAGGCCACATGTTTCACCCCCAGCCCTAAAATGAACGCGTGCTGAATTCAAAAGTGGTGCGTGCAAGTACTAGGCAAGTCTTTTTCTTCCTCTTGCTGCATTATTAGATGATGTTGCGTTGATGAGATCAGTGCTGGTTTATGAGTAACCCGTCCTCGTCAATTGAAAAAGCACAGTTCTTGCTGACCTTGTGATCATCCCTATATCAACACAGCCTGTCGTCACCCTTTGCCCTCTTTCATCAGGGCACATGCTATTTAGTTGTCTGTTTGATTACCACCGGCTAGCACCTAAGAATAAATCTCAGCTGTAAATCTGCGCGAGGTTACCGTCCTGTCTCCGGCCTTGTGATGTCAGAAGCAGTGTTTGTATCCTTTGGTCGTGTCGAGTAAAACGGCGGTGTTGTGCTCTCGTCCTGTGAGTAAGCCGCGAGTACGACTGCCATGTGGAGCCGCGGCTGGTGCTAATCACTGAACAATAGCTACTGTCTGTTCGCAAAACTCTCCTTCTCTCCGCCTGCTGCCTTCCCGATGCCAATAATGCTGGGCTTGGCTTGTGGAGTTGGATTAAGGTTTAAATGGTTTCGTTTGAAATGCTAAAGATGGTGCATATGTCCTGCTCTTTAAGTAGTAGATGTTTTGAGATTTTGTCAGTGTGTGTAAGTTGTGTTATACTGGTGAAATTATAGGGAGAGTTTGAGTTTATCTTCTGTTGAATGCATTAGAAGATATTTTGAAAAATGCTGAAAATCTGTAACTATTTACTTTAATAGCACTTGTTTTTTTCTGTCTTTTTCTACTATGGAAGTCAATGGTAACATGTTTCTAACATAATAAAAACTCCTAATGGTTTGGAACCAATTAAGAGTGAGTAAATTAGTTAGTAAAATAATTTTTTAGGGGTGAACTATTGCTTTAATGTGGGCAGTGTTTGGGTAGGTTACTTAAAAAAAGTAATAGATTGCAAATTACCAGTGTTGGGCAAGCTACTTAAAAAATGTAGTGAGCTTAGCTATTAGCAAGTCTACTTAAAATGTAGCTTAACTACGCTAACAGCTACCCCCTGGGAAATGTAGCAAGCTAAGCTAAAAGCTACTTGGCAAAAGTAGCTTATCCACATCAAAGCTATTTTTACAATGTTTATTTTTAAATTGAAGCCACTTAAATCCAAGTCAATCATATCTTAGAAACATGAGACATAATAGTTCAGTTCAGTTATTTACTGTAAATAATATGCTTTGCTAAACAGAAACAAATTATAGTATATACCAGCAAATACAAAATATCCAATAAAACCAGGTGTTATATGTATATATATATGTGTGTGTGTGTGTGTGTGTATATGTATGTGTGTGTGTGTGTATATATATATATATATATATATATATATATATATACACACACACATTATTATTATTATTATTATATGGATCTTATGGATTTACTTTCATCGGCTAGAACCGGCCTCACAGTGGCTTATTGAACCACAATCGGTAAATGTAGCTTGTGTGGACGCTACTTGACTAATAAAATAGCTTCGCTACTGAAAAGCTATTTTATTAAGAAAGTAGCGACGCTACCGCCACGCTTCTGAGAAATGTAGTTAAGCTAGTAGCATCACTACTTGAAGCGCTGCTATTGCCCAACACTGCACATTACTGATTTCAACTGGAAAACTGTTATCTGATTACATTACTAATTACTTAATGTAAAAAGTAATCAGATTAATAGTTACTTTACTTTGAAGTTACTTTTAAAACGTATAAAAATACAAAATAAACTGCAGCTCTTTCTGTAATTTAATATTCACTAAAAAACATCACAATGTGTGTTCACAGCAGCTTGACATATTTAAAATACTTAGAGATAATACGCCCAAAACTTAATTCTCTCATCATTCACTTGTTCCAAACCTGTTTGTCTTTTATTTTTAACACAAAAAAGACTTAAAGATGACTTGATACTTGTAACTATTGACATCCATAGTATGAAATTTTAGATTTTTCTGAAATTGTGTATATTATTCCATACAAAGTATGAAGCTGATTGGTCACTTCTTGTGGCGTGATTCGTGGTTTTCAACTTGGTATGCCTGGAATATGCGAACAAATGCAATATGTGCTCCCAATATGTGTGCACAAACCGCGCCCCCCCTCCACTGGAAATAACGAACTTGCACACGCAAAAGATACGATATGTGAACGGCCCCATAAGCAGCTACGCTTCTCTTTACATTCAGAAGATACCTTTACTCCCGATCCTGCAGGGAGTTGAGCCACCATGTTTTTGGGTGCCAGTGTACTCTGTGGTGGCAAGTATTGTCGTAGAATGCTTTCTATTCAAGTGCTGAACAAGTTGCTGGTTGAGTTAAAAGCAGTCAAGAGTTCTTTAGAGACTGGACATAGACTGCATTTCACAGCATTATTTTAGTTTTTATGCTCAATGAAATCAAAGCCTAATGTCTGTATTTCCCCTTGAGGAAGCAACCACTCGCGTTCTCCAGCAATTTAAGAAGTGCTTGTTTATTGACTGACGTTGCAGCGGAAAACATGATTTAAAAGGGGTATTTTTTTTCCTTCTAAAACCTGTATTTGTAACGTAATTATTTCAATTACATTCACTTTAGTAACTAATTAAATAACACAAATTTAAAACGTAATTTGTTTCATTACTGCGTTCCTCAAATGTATTTCGAGTACAGTATTGCATTACTGTGAATCACGCTACATTCAACTCTGAATGTGGGATAGTGAGTTAGTACACTAATAGTAAACCCTGTTATTTGCAGCATCCTAACCGTTATAAAGAAATGCATTTAATTGAGTTGGGAATTGTAAGGCTGATGTTTAAATGATATTGAAATAAAAGGGATTGTTCTCTCAAAAAAATTAATTTAATCTTTATTTACCTTTATGAGTTTCTTTCTTCTGTTAAACACATAAGATAATATTTTGAATAAAGCTAAAATGCTGTAACCTTTCACTTTCGTAGTGAACTGTCCCTTTAATGTAAGATAGATAGTACACTGTTATTTGAAGCATCATGACTGTCACAAAGAAATGCATTCAATTGAGTTTGGAATTTGATTTGTAAATAATGTTGGATTAACGGGATATTTCTCTCCAAAATGCGCACATACTTTCTATTTACTTTCATGAGTTTTTTCTGTTGAACACAGAAGATGGTATTTTGGAGAAATCCTGTAACCATTAACTTCCATATGTGGAAAAACTAATACTGTGGTATAGTCAAGG